AAAAAAAAAATCTCTGAAGTTGGTGCTAATCCAAAATCTTCTCTAAAACTCTTCATCCACCAACTATTGTTCAACCTGTCCCATCTGTCTTACTCAAATTGCTGGTAAAGGGGGATTCTACTGTCTTCTGCTTGATGAATAAGAGTCTTTTTCAACCTTCAGTGCCAGATGCATTCTCTCAAGTCCTGCCTATTTTTAACATCAGAGAAATGATCCCTTCTTACATTCCAGAGGGAAGACAACAGGCATGGATAAGTTATAGTCTATGTATAGTTCAAAAATAATTGTACAACTTTATTTCTTATATTGCCTCTCATCCTTTTTTTCTATGGTCTCTTTGCAAGGCAGTATGTCGTATTTGATGTGTGTATTTTTAAAAAACAAAACAAAAAAGATTACTACATCTGTGTATTGTCGGTGCCTTTGTCAGGTTCATTTGACTGGACTTGTCTGTCTGATGCCATTTTCAGACCAGGGTTTTTTTTTGCTGTGCTCCTGGTTACGATGACCCACTTGGAAACACTGCCTTCTACTATGAAGTGTCACTAGTATATCGAATACTACACTCATTCTTTAAGTGATAAATGAACACAGCTAGGACAATTGATAATATGCAAACTACTGTTAGAGTCTCCAAGAAACTTTGTAACACGTCTTATGAACTTTTTTAAAATTGATGACATCACTTCAACTGACAGATTTAAAGGTTTTTATTTGTTGTTGTTTGTTTTTTTTTGTTTGTTTTTTTAATTCCAGAAATGCAAGAAACTCTAATCAAAACCAACCTTGATCCGATGTTTAACATTATCTGGGGATGCAAACTTTATACAGAAGACTAACTGATAGCCTATGTATATACAATACATGCACATGTGTATGTCTGTATGCATCTGTATAGATAGAAATGCATAAAATTGGTGAGCTAAAGCTTTGCTTAATAGTGGGTCTCCAGGGCAGCAGCAGAAAAATCAACCTTGTGTTAAACCAATGCCTGTTCATCTATTCTGTGGTCGTCTAAATGTTTAATCTTGAATAAAACTATTGTTTGTTACAGCAGGTCAAATTGAGTGTGTATGTGGTAACCAAATATAAGCTGAACGATGTGTGATTTTGCCATTTGAAGGAGGCACATATGAGTACAGGACACCCTTCTGTGGAGATAAACCATCTATTTATTGTTGGGCTAACTGGGTAGAAAAGTCAAGAAACAAGAAGATGAAATTGAACAATCATTAATGAAAAAAAAAATGAAGCAAGAAGAAATAAAGTTAAAGGTGGGATTTAGACAGCTGAAGTAGTCTGAGCATGCGGGATTTGAATTTCTCTGTCTTCTGACGTCATCATTTTGTAGTGTGCACTACACAGAACATGCCACTAGGGAGCATACATCTACTATTTTTTAATTTCGTCATTTTACACTGTTGTAATAAATTCTATTAAGTGTGTGTGTGTGTGTGTGTGTGTGTGTGTGAGAGAGAGAGAGAGAGAGACAGAGAGAGAGACAGAGAGAGAGGGAAAGAGAAAGATAAGAGGGTTAATTAGGGACTCTAGGAAGAGTTGGATGCATTTTAATGGCATTCATAAGTAGGGGGTTAAGTATGCATTATTCAGCATAACTATAATTGTCCTGCTTTATCCTGCATACATATATTACAATGTTTATATCAGATAAATTGAAATCTAAAAATGCTCTTGAGGTTGTTAGAAGTGTATTCCCTTTGATGAAACAAATTTTACTATCGTGTTGTTTTGAGGTTATACTGCTGACAGAAGCATAAACAAAACAATGTCCCTGAATGAACCAGAAGGATATAGCAAGTCATGGAAAATAAAATCAAATGGTAAAAGAGAGTTCTAACACAATTATCTATTGAAGTATGGAGCAAATACATCTTGCAAATCAACACTAAAGACAAAGCAAAATCTAATTGCTGCCATGCTATCAGTCACCAGTAATTACCTTTCTTCTGTGTTGGGTAAATAGATGCTTCAGCTATCCTATTACAAGCCTCGCATTAGGAAAGTTACATAATAAAACAACATAGCACCCTTTTTATTGTAAAGCCATCCCTACTTATCGCACTGATGAACGTGAAATTAAAACGCAAACCTCAATGCAGCAGCAATGTTTTAAACCATCAAGAAACAAATCAAAGCACATACTACATCACCAACTGTGACAATTTGCTATATTGTATGAATTAAATAAAGTAGAGCTAATTCTGTTTACTTATACACTTATTAGGTAATTTAAACTTAGTGTGTGTGTGTGTG